TTTTGTCACAGCCTCAAGGACTGGGCAGCCAGCATGAATCGTTTCTTCACCAAGACCCACCGTGAGGCGCAGTGGTACTTCACCTAGCCTTGAGGAGCGTTGAGTGGGAGAGTCCACGAGAGCCATTGAGTTGCTTTCGCATCGCTACTAGTAGCTTCTTGCTACTAGATGCTACTAGTATATTATGCCCTTGGCTACTAGTAGCGATGCCCTTGTTACTAGTAGAAAACAATTGACCAGCGAGTCAAATCTACAGCCACACCACCGCATTCCTCTCTCCTTGCCGGCGATTTTTGGAGTCCAGACTTGCATCGGAGCTGCAGGTGCACTCGATGTGGGGATTCTTGGCATCAACACACCGGATCTGGCTTGTGACCATCCGACATGATTGAAGCAGTTGCATGCTGCATCCAGCATCCTCCCAATCACCGGGCCAGGCCGGCCATTTCGCTTCAGGAGCCCACACAGTGATTGCAGTATGTTGCCAGATGTGGCCAGGCATGGCTTCTTGTTTGCGCTCGGCCTCACCCTTGCGTGGGCGGCCCCAGGGGCCCATTCATGGCCCATCAACCGCCCTGTGCAACGATCCGTGCGCGCCGAGGGTCAAAGATCCAGACCGCATCAACTACGGTCACGTGACACCTGCCTGCTTTTTTGAAAAGACTTGGCCGCCCAGCTCTGGGAGGTGCGGCAGAGAGGTGTGACGTGTTGTTTATTTTTATTAAAGGGTCTATGCCCTAAGAGTCAAAGTCTATGCCCTTGAAAGTCAAATACTATGAACACGAATGGTCTTTGGGTTTCCAATTTTTGCGGACTTTCCTTTGCGAACGGGGGCAATCTTAAAACGGTTCGGTGAACTGGTCCAAAACGCGCGTGCCAGGTGGCCTTGCTTGGGAACACCTTCCCCACTCGTTTTGCAGCGATCGGCTTGTTGGTGCCGGGGGCCGAGCCGAGCAGTCTGTCTAAGCGGTGGCTGTCCGAGCAGCCGAGGCACAGCATGGCAGCAAGAGGACAATGAAGCGATATGATATGAACCATGGATACCCATGAATAGGATTGACATCTAGTAACAAATTCATCTAAATACTGTACACATGTGGCCATGATGTTGCCGTATTGCACATGCGTTCCGTGTCCGAACAAACACCTCTTGGTGGCACCTGCGTGTAGCACCTGCAGGGTGTAGCACCTGCCGTCCCCGCACTGGCAGTCTCGTCTTCTCTTCCAATCCAAGTCTCCGCCATCTCCGCAGAGACTGCGTGGTTCGGCTCGAGGCCCTTGCACGCCATCCTGTGGGGCTTCGCACGGTATCACACCACGGGCGCGACCGTTTGCCGAAGGCCAGGGCCCCAAAAGGGGGGTTCACAGTAGACGGCCGCATACATATTGGTGGGTTGGATGAACAGAGAGGAACTACCCCAAGTGAACAACCAGAGGATATGGCAAATCGATCCCTTGATTCGAAGGACTTTAAGGCTTCACCGGTGATCCTTGATCATCCGACGCATCACCGGGCGATGACTCTGCTTTTTCTTCCCAGGATCTCAGGGCCCAGTTGTGTGCTGGCAGGCAGGGTGTGCGGAGGAGAGTGAAAAACCATGAAGAAAGATGAAGAAAGGACAATTGGACACCACTACAGGTCTTGTGCATTTTGCCTCTCTTCATGCAGTTCAGGGGATACAGCTGGTCGATATGACTTGACATCTAGTGACAAGTGATTCGCTACTAGTAACAAGTGCATCGCTACTAGAAACAAGTGTATTACTACTAGCAACAAGAACATTTTTTCAAGTCTTATCGTTGTTAACAGATAGAGTGCATATCGAGCACTTCTGCTTGTCATGTTGGCCAATCTTCATGTATGTAGAGCGGCCCTCGCGATAAGGAAGTTATATATAATATATAGATACAATCTTCATTGAACAAAATATGTGATGGGAACATGATGTTCACCTTATTATTTATCCAATTCTTATCTTGTTTTAGGAACATTCAGTGATGGGAATTTCCTCGTCCAGGTCTTGGGCGAACGGTGCTGTGGTCCTCGCTGGGGCTTCAGTGTCTTCACATGGGGGGAATGCCGGAACACCGTCACCGGTCCATTGACCAACTCGAAGAGGATTGGCTTTTAGCATGAGTTCATTTCTGATTCATGTCTTGGAACACCTTGCAGCTGCTGGGGCTTTTGAGGAGAGTCAGCCAGGGGATCCAGAAAGAATCACATAAGAGGGACAGCGAGGGTTCGAGATTTCTCAAGGTGTCTGAAAAGTCTACCTCAATCCCTCTACCACTCTGAGGAAATAGTTGACATATACTGGGTAGAAGCTGTGCAATCGTTGGAATTCTTTTGCTGTGAACGACAGTCCTTGAAGCTGATGTTTGCTGTTCAAAGAAAGTTTCACGACAGGCCGTGCTTCACCTATGCAGTCCTGCGATACGTTGAACTCAAGGCGGCTTGAAAGCCTTCCTGGCCAAGAGAGGTTTGGAGGGATGTCAAAGCATATGTGTCTATGACCATATGAGCAGCGTCAAAAACCTCCCACGAACAGTTTAAGCAAACTTGTAAACTCCAACTTGCCCGCAGAAGCCAAAACTGCAGTCGTGGAAGCTTGCGGAAGCCACCGCGTAAGTATATGGTAAAATTCACCATCGCTGAAGCTTTGCGGAAGTGCACATGTTATCTTGTTGAATCTTCTTGACAATAACAAAGGCCTCTATACTTTAAGGAGATTTGTCTTACCGTATAACAGATCGTAGACCGGCTTTTGACACCGCTCATATGTCCAGGGAGGGAGAATACTGAGTATATGTCCAGGGGTGGCCGTCCCAAGTCCGGGGGCGTGAGGGCGAGAAAAGCTCCGAGAGCAAAGATCTTGAGATTGGCCTGGCTGAAGCCTCAAAACGGAGGTCCGAGGAGCTGTTTGTTTGGCCGGTGACGTTGTAGGATTGAACTCTCAATGTCTTGGAGATGATCATGCGGTCATATCACTGTAATCTTCTTCAAGATTGCATGTGACTCCCAATTTGCAATTACATCCAAGAACAGATGGGCTTGCATAGAATCTTGTGAAGCGTGACCTAGTCAGAACTGAAAGTAACGAGTGAAAGGGTCGAATCCTTTTTTGACTCTAAGGTGCTGGCTGCGCACTGCATTCTTTCAGCACGGGCCTTGGACAATCAGGCATCACAACCTGTTAGACAAGATGCTGTGGCATTATTTGTTGAGGTGATGAGGGGAGACTTTTTTGGTAAAACGTTTCAGTTGACAAACACGGAAACCTATCGTGGTACTTGAAAAGTGAACCTATCCCTTTTGATTGACACGTTCTTCCGATTTACACGTTCTTCCGGGGTGCATCAATGTACTTGGCAAGAACTCAAGCAGTTCCAAGATGACAAGAATGCGGGCTCACCTATCAACCAAGACGGAGGCATGACACGCAAGAAAGATAAAGAAAGGAATCAACAAATAAGCAAGATGAACCACCACACTCAGACCACAAGTAGGTCCTGGAGGTCACAGCGTCAATATGGGCCGATCCTCCTCTAGATGGTTGAAATCCTACATGGCCACCAGCATGACACAGACTAGACCCTGTGAACCCCAAAATACCATTGATCCCAAACTGCCCCCGTTGCTAACAGGCTTCTCCAGGGGTCTGTTGGTCCCCTGGGTCTGTTTCCACATCATCCAATGCACCGGGTGGTGCCATGTCTCGGCGGTTCTTCACCCGAGATCCTGGGCGTCATCGCACACCTCTTCTTCTCCGATCGGCCGGGGACGCCCAGAAGGACGGGGGGCGGACGGGGGCGTTCGGCGACTGAGCGCATGTGGCTTTCTGATACTTTTTGCGACAGAGCATGACAGATCTGAGATCAGATCCGAAAAAGATCTGAAAAGGATCTCAGGCCACTGTGACCTTAGAGATTATGATTGGGTCCTAGGATCTGTGAGACATTTATAAGATATTTTTCACACATGGAGAGCTGCACCCACCTGGCCCCTGGTGAACTCCAGTCATGGCACCAGTCGAGCAGATCGATCGGATACAGTCGGGCGGATCGGTCGTGAAGCAATGCCAGGAAGCCTGTATGAGTTTGAGGAAGTTGTGCTAGGAACAAGAAGCTACTAGGCGGAGGCCATCGCTATTTGTTTGGATGCCATCGCTACTAGCAACAAGAAGCTACAAGAGCTTGTAGATCCAAAGACAGGTGGGAACAACAACTGGAGTTAAAGACAAGGATTTTTGGATGTCTTGATGGCCATCCTGAGGTGAAACCCTTTGCTGGGTCCTAGGTCCTTAAAGCCTTTTGCACTGTACAAGTACAGCTGCAAGCCCTGAGTGCTCTTGCTTCAGCAGTTGAAAGATGAGGAAAAGACCATCATCATTCACTCACCTACCGTTTGTGCTTGTTTGGTGTATTGGATGACACATGCCACCGGATGCTTCTTCATGCCTCTATCATTCTGACTGCATCGGGAATCTTGGCTCGCCAATGTGTCTCATGTCCTCTACTTCTAGCCTACTTCCAGACACTCATCAACATGACACAGACACCACTTCCTGTGACTTGAGAATATCATGAGTGAGAATGTAGCAACTGCAGCACATTTTTTTGTCCAAATAAGTCCAAATAACAGTGCTTGGATTTCACGTTTTTGGGCTCCAGCTGGTTGGACCCAACGGGGTGACCGTGGCTTGACCCAAGAAGCGGGTGACCGTTTAGGCGTTTCACGGTGCATCACGTCCGATTCTTCGTTGATCCTCCCGAGAGACCAACAGCAAGTGGGTGCCTCTTGGATGAACCAATGCGAAAGCCACTGGATTGCATGGGCTATCATGGGATTCTTGGGTTCTTACATGTTCTTACCCAAGAACCACAGTATCAAATCCACAGCTTTTAGTGATTTCCATTGCTCTTTGTGGCTTCCAACCCCTAGAAATCCACCTCCCTACTGAGCGTCGACTCCCGAGCGGTTTGCCGCTTTGGCGCGAGCCATGGGTGCAAAGCAGAGCCTCGTCGGCACAGACCTAGCGCAGAGCCTATTCGTCGCAGTGGACGGACGAGGTCTTCGTCGGGGAGTCCCAGGTGCTTTCGTGGTGAATCCGAACGAAACGGTTCTGGACACGGTGGAGAAAGAGATGCAGAAGGGGGCCAACATGGAAGAAGCCGCTGCAAAGGCAATGTGCAAAACTTGGTTCTTAGCGGACACATGCAAAGCACCAAAGGATCACATATAGCAGGCCATAGTGCGCTCAGTGTGCCTTAATTTTTGTTGTTGACCGACCCGGAACAAGTTCTTTTTTCGGTGCCAAAGAAAGCGCAGGCGACTGAAACGATTGAGCTTCATGAGCATCAACCTCCAAACCAGCATGAGTTCGTGGTGCCCAAGATGGCCGAGTCTGTGAAGCAGACTGATGCCGAGATCCCCCACGAGAGCAGCGCTCCCCCGCATGAGAATCTGGAGGAGGACTATGCGTATGATTATGATGCTGAGGACATGGATAGAGGCTTGTCGTAAATATCCCGACCAGTGACTCAGTGCGGGGTGTTCATGTTTTGCTTTTTTGATTTTTCCACTGGCGACCGAGTGAGAGAGGCACTCCAAGAGCTGGGAAGTGCAAGTTTCTTGATTTTGGGAGACCTACTCGTACATAGCGCTCTGGCTTCAGAGTTGTCCGGGTTGTCTTGGCCTTATGTATTCTATTTTATGTTTTTCGACGTTTTTCGTTTCTCAACAAGCGAGTAGTTTCTGCAGTTTCTTCGCCCAGTGTAGCAGTAAGGGCCACCAGACGTGCCATTGATGGACGAGGATTTAAAATTGGCCGACATCCGATTCGACAGCAAGGTCGATCCTCAGCTGAATCGAATTGCAGAGCAACTGGATGGCAAAAACATGTTTTTAATTGAATGTTTTTGTTGTGTTCCACTCTTTCATAACTTTGAAAAGGGGGTCTGGATTTGGAACCATACGAAGAATTTGTCACTAACATCCTTGCATCACACCCATAGTACCCATATGTACCCATAATGGTGGTAATTGAAAGATGTTGGCAAGAATAGTACAAGGTCTTCTGGGATTTATGAGAGTTCTGACAGACTTGATCATTTTGAAGGGCCATGCAGGGCCCTGAAAAACCCAGCTAAGGCAAGTGAACCAAAAAATCGACATGGTGGAAGAACGACTCCTAGGTGACCGCCTGCAGAATGTGGTGGTCCCGTTGCCAGCCACTGATGCTTCACGTAACGCGAGCTCGGTGCAGGTCTTTCTGGGGAATCAAACCGATGCCGGGACACCGCTGGACCAAGTGAACGAACTGCTCCAGAAGGCCAACAACATTGAGAAGGGCCTTGTGGCGACGTCCAATTTGCAGCTGAAATGGATACCAAAGATGCACACCCAACCTCCAATCCAACCTCCAGTGCAACCTTCATTGCATCCTTTGCCTCCGTTCGCCAACCTAAAATCATCCAGTCTTCAACTACAATCGCAGCTTTCAGAGTGCTGGAGTCGGAGTGGGAGAGGCCTTCAGGAAGCTGGGCGGTTCCTTTGAGCATCTTCAGCCCTGCAAAGCCACAGGGTGCATGCGACAAGCGAAAAAAGGAGAAAGCTTCTGACTCCGTCTCTGTGCTCTCTCAAGAACACCTTTCAAGATCTTTCATGTTTGGAACCCTTAGGATTTGACTAAAGACTAAAAGCAAAGCAACTCCTTTTTTTGACTTTGCCAGGGGTAGACTTACTTCAACGTTGCTGACGTCAAACATTGTTGGCTGATTCGTGTTTTCTAAGGACCTACGACAGGCTGTTCCCACTCACACCTCCGCCTTTGTGTCAGAGCCTGATGATGGGATTCCAAGTGTCATTTATGACAGCAAAACCTAACTATCCTAACTTGCTGGGTTCCACTTGCAAACTCCAGCCCGGTCTTTGATGTCTCTAAAATGATGGAGCGGTAGATAAAAGTAGAAAGAACGCCCATTGCATACAGTAATCTGTCTACACATGTGGAAGCCAAGCTGGGATCCATCCGTGCTCAGATCTCCTCGTGGTGCGCTACATGTTTTGGTTCCTGGCCGGGGGCTCCCGGTCCGAGTATGAGTTGGCTGAGCATGAGGACGTCTCACATGTTGGAGTATGCAGTTGTACACCATGATCATCCTGTGTGCTGCTGGAACTGACCAACCCTCCTTCCGCTTTCACGGACCACTCAGGTCTTCGCGGTGAAGTGGCTGGTGGGCCTGGAGAGCCCAGTCTTCTTTGGACCCTTCGCAGTGGGAAACGGACCAACACCAGGACGAAGAAGGACCGCAGGACCCTCCAAGTGCTTCGCCGCGCCGTTTCCACGCGCATCGGGTGGGTGGGTGACCTGATGCGATCGGATGCTCCAGTCGATGGGCAACAAGAAGACCCACCAAGGATCTCCGACATGGATACAAGGGACACGGACATGGACGGTTTCATATGAAATCCGTGTTTGGGAGTGTCCCCTCATTGTGAAACATACCCGCCCAGGCTTTGCAATCTTCAGCTCAGTATACAAGCTGATGCCGGCGCCTATGCTTACAGCCTTGGAGTTAACACGCAAAGCAACTGAAGGGAACTCACCAAGATGGAACCGCACAACAGCAAGTACATGCAAGTACAGTATCAACAAGAAAACTTTAAGCCTCACGAGGATTTAGGACATGTCCCTAAAAACAGTTTATCATTGCCACAATATTCTTATTTTTGCACGATTTTTCAATTAATTTCTTCTGTGGCTTCTGGACGAGGCATGAAGATTTGCAGATCATCATGCTGGGCCAACAGAGCGTCACAGAGATGACCTACTCGTGGACCAGCTGCTTTGCTGAAGAGAGACACCATGGGACCTATGAGGGAGGTCAGACGGGCAAGACTTGCAGAGAAAAGTGACACGCAAATTGCGATGCACAACATAGAAGCTACTAGGGGCTCCTGGCCATACTACTAGGAGCGAGGACGCTACTAGGGGCTCCTGGCATCGGTACTAGTAGCAAGAAGCTACTAGTAACAAGAACTCAGGAATGATTGGAATGCACAGGAAATACCTGGGAACGCACAGGGATGTCTTGCCCTGTTCAGCCTGTTCATAGATGTCTGAATGTCTCTCCATTGTGATCTAGTGTTTGGCTGGACACGAGTGGTGGCATGGTGCCCGACCAAAAAAAAAGTAAAAAATATATATATATATATCCGGTAGAGCCTGGCAACCAGGCTTGACAGCTTGTGTTCTATCCGCAGAAGCTAGCAGCTAGGGGGTGCCCTGGGTATGATGACTGTGCTGCAGAGATCACTAACGTCCAAGGCTATGATCTGCTATGACACAATGTAATATGGCATCTGTATGGCATATACATATTGGTTTGGCACCCCTCCATATGGGGCCCCAATCCGGCATCATTCACGGGTTCATTTACAGGTGCGAGATGCCGGATTGCACGGCTGCCCTGACCGGCGCTGGGTCCGCTGGTTCCATCACTGACCCAGGCACTGACTGGGGGCAAGATGTCTTGGAATGGGCCCTTTTGTGACTCGGCTGCTACTGAGAGCGACAGCTGAGCGACTGCTGATCGATCAAAGTAGTAATGCCAGGAGCCCCTAGTAGCTTCTTGCTCCTACTAGTAATGCCAGGAGCCTTTCATGTGCTTTCCCTTTCCTTCTTGGGAATTTGCAGGTGGTTCACGACCTTCTTCCTCTTCTGTGCTGACACAGGGTCACGGCCTGAGCTTGAAGCACTTAAGCCTCATTACTGGAGGTTTCCTTCCACACTTATCCATGCTTCATATTTTGGTGGGTCAGAATATGTGTATATATGTGTCATGTTGGTGTGTCTGAAGATTCCTTCAACAACGTTTAACGCACGTCTACTTTCACTTGACCCACAGTCTATGATGCAGACCTATGTTGCAGTTTGCCAAGACAAAAAGTGGACCCTTCAAAGAGGGATGCAAAAGGATGCAAAATGAGCTGCCACATGTGTTGTTTTGCCCAAACAAAAGCACAAGTTCCATCATGTTCCATCATGTTCCATCCCCAGAACTGTTCACCTTGGGCGTCACATGCCTTTTCCGTGTTGACCTTGGTGGACCTTCTGTGGACCTTGGTGGACCCAGGATGTGGTTCACCTTGGGCTGCACCTTCCTGGGAGTCTCCACCGCTTTTGTACAGCGCTCGTGCGGGGACTGAAGGGTGTCAGAAGCGTACACGTCCGGAGTCGAGGGTCGGTGCCCAAAGGACTTGTATTAGTCTCAACATCTGGAAAGTGACAAAAAAGGTAGAAAAAGACACCAAATAGGGAAGCATGAACTAAAGCTCTTTGCCCTCACAAAGATCCACTGAAACTTTTGGGATTTGGGACAGAAGATGCCTGTCCCTGCCTGCTTGTGCATCTGCAGGTTTGTCCCAGTGAGAATGCATTCCAAGGGTCCATGATTCCATGATGGTGTTCGTTTGACCGGCGGGTCCACCCCGTCCACCAGCTTTTCCAAACGGCAGCCCGAAGATGAAGAGAATATCAAATGTCCTCCCGTGTGGTGACGATCATAAAACAACTGGCATTGACCTGGGCCATGAAGATGTTTTTTTTGGTTTCCATCTTCTTAGCAATCTCAAAGAGAACCAGAATGTGTGTCTGTAATACAATCAGTCAGTTGTTGAGACTTTTTGTCGTCCACATCCAACCGCGTCCTTCATCGGCTGCACAGCACCCAATTTGCAGTACCTGAGCTAAGTCAACTTGAGATGACTCCTGCGCTGACCGTCAACCGAGGTGTTTTGTGTACACCTTCTGTTTCGAGGACTGGAAGCAATGCCCTTTGCACGGAGCACCGGGCCATTGCGAGCGGGAAAGGTCTGGTTCGAGGATGTAGAACCTGGACAGAGCGACATGTCCGGAGGTTGGCGGTCTCCTGGGGTGATACGTGATATTTGGGACTAGTAACTTCTTGCTACTAATAGTAATGACCTCCAACCTAATAGCGATGGCCTCCAACCTACTAGCTTCTTGCTACTATAGTTGTTTGTTATTTTATGTTATGCGTTTTCACGATTGCGTGAGGATCTTTTTGGAGGCAGTGTTAGGAAACCCTCGCGGCACACTAAAGTCAAGTGAGAACACCTTTGCAGAACATCTTCTAAGCAGATCCGCCCAGTGTCATCCTCCAGGACGCAGTCTCCAAAATCCCCGAGCGGATGTCCGAGAAGGCTCGGTAGACTTCCGTCGGTGTGCTCGCAGCGGTCTTAGGCGGCTTTTTGGTTCAAGGTGTTTGCAAAAAACATACACCCAACACCTTTGAGGTACTCTTTCGCTGGAATGAAAACAGTGTCCTTTTGGGACTGGGAGTGCAACTCTGTCGGAGAGGAGCCTTTACAGCGAGGGCTTAATGTGGGAGCCCACCCCGAGAGAACTAGAACAACGACGAACAACGGGTATTTGTGCATTGAACAAGAACACTTTGTTGGGAAAGATGCCGACGGGCATGTGACTCCTTTCAAAGATGTTCAAGAACAGGGAAGATGCAGGGAGACTCAAGGATTACTTGCCTGCCGCTGCCGCTCACTTGTTCAACCTTCTTTTGACGCTGGGTGCAACGGATGCAACTAAGGTCTTCACCTTTGTGAAAAGCTACGTTCAGGCCAGATGCTCAGCAGACATGAATGTCAGCAAACTGCTACTTGCAGTGAATCTCATGACACGTGGAGAGCAGTGATTGTGTACAGTGGCATATCAACAGAAGTGTCAAGATAGTGGAGTGATGTGGAGTGCAGGCTGCGTCAGGCCATAGCCCATGGTGAGATACTTTGAGAAAGTGCCATACTAGTAACACATAGTGACATAGCTACTAGCAACAAGGTGCATCGCTACTAGGAGCAAGAAGCTACGTTCGTAGCTCCTGGCATTACTACTATAGGAACAAGAAGAAGCTACGTTCGTAGCTCCAAGGGCAACCGTACGCAGTTCGGAAAGAAGTTCCAAGAAGTCGAACGCAGTGTGTGTTTCTCGCACGAACGACCTGTGCCTCGTTGTAGAAGCGCGCCCAAATGGCGCCTAGACTCGTGGAGTGTCAAAGCAGTCTTCCCATGTCTTCCCATGTCTCTTCTTCGACCGCCGCAGGGTCGAGAGATGGCGCGGGAATTTCCATTGGTCTGGGATCGAATCTTGGAGTGCGCCAATTTCCGCCAAACACCGGTGTGCGGTCAAAGACGAAACGACATCGGCGCCAACGTTGGCGCCAGGAACGCCCGTCCACGGAGGTACATGAGATACGAGGACAAAGTGGGATACCAGTTCATGTCTGACCAGGCGAGGGTACATCGCAGCGTTTTGGCAACATTCAGTTTCACCATGATTTTTCCTTGTGGAGACTCTGCTAAGAAACCCACCGAATTTAAGGAATTGAATGTTTACAAGTTGAGAATACAATCTAATACAATCTAATATGAGCAATATAATTCAAAATGATTCAACAGTATTCCATATACAATACACACATTATGATCTATGGATGCTCAAAAGCACGGTCACCACTCTGACCAGCACAAGTGCACGTTCGGTACTCTCCGGTGTGACCCACGGGATTCGGCCGCGCGCTCCGGCGGGACGGCAGTCGTTCTCCAACGCGGGTGCTTCGGTGCACCGTGGCGTGGGCTGGAGTACCTTGAGCCGATCCATCCGAGCAGCCTTGAGGCGCCACCGGGCCGGGGAGTGATTCAGCTGATTGGGCATGGAGGTTTGTGTCCGGTTAGGTGGATGCTGTGATGATGGGGCTTTGTTACTCATTTGGTTTGAAGATGTTTGAAGATTTGTTAGAAGGTTGTATCCTAGGTTTCGGGTTTGGCCTTCTTGTTCTCTTCTGGAGTTCAGGCCAGTGGAAGACTCGCACGGGCCTCGGGTGGTGCCGTTCTGTGCGGTCAGACGCAAAACTTGAAAGCTTTACGTTGGGATGCAATACCTTGCCAGAAAGGATCAACTTTGAGTACTTTAATGATTAACACCTCGTTTGGAGGTGTTCAACGCTGTTTGATACTTGTCCGACATACTGACCTGAGAGTACATCCTCTTAGTTATTCATGAACATCAGATGTGTTTCTTCAAATCTCCTGAGAAACCGTTGACCTGCGCCGGTTTTGCAGGTCAGGTGCACAAATAAAGATCGCGGCGGGTCTCTGAGTCATGTACAAGCATTTGTTCAGAAATCGTTCAGACCAGTCAGGGCATGATGTCCGGCACGAACGGCATTAAGGAAATAGCAAATACGCATAACACATGTCGTTATATGTGCAAGCATTTAGTAGCGGCGCGTCCTTGTTCCTATAGTAGTAAGGCCAGGAGCCCCTAGTAGCGTCCTTGCTCCTAGTAGCGATGCCCTTTGCTCCTAGTAGCCTTAATATGCGTACGTGTCGGCGTCAGGTAAACAGCTTGGCACACATGCCATGCGAACTCTCGGAGTCTATCGGGGTCTGGGAGTGTGTCAGTGCTGCCCGAGGTCCCGAACATGTTTCAGGAACAAAGCATTTGTCAGAGAGCTTTCCTTCACTACGGTTGCTGCGCTGGGACCCAAGTTTGGGGCACAAGTAGACGTAGACAGACTTTGCGAAGATTCAGGGCATCCCGCCAAACAGCTTCTTTCTGTCACAGACAACAAAATTGCCCAAAATAACAAGTGGGCCAATTCTGTTGGTTTGAGATGGTTTGAGACATGCTTGAGCTTGGCTCCCAAACAGTCTTCCAGTAGTTATGGGTTATGTTGCCTTGCATCTCAGATCCGAACTGCAATCTTTGCTCAGATTCGCGACCCCAACTGGCCGCAGAACCCTGAAGTGCAGTGGCAACTTAGCAGCAAGCGAGGGAGGTGAAGCCTTCGGTGTTCAAGGTATTCACGGTTAAAAGCTTCTGGCAAGAAAGGTAGTAGAGTGGATTGAGAGTAGATGGCACCATCCCCCGAAGGTGGTTTATATGAACCCCCATCTGAAACTCATTTTGAGATATTTTGAGGTTTGTGCTATCTACTCTGAAACCACTATACACTGAAAATCACTATAATATGGTTGGCTCAGGACCACGATATTGAGACCAGCTCAAACATTTTTGGTTGTCAATTCAACCAGAAGTTTAGAAGTTTCCTCTTTATGGGATCTCGAGCTACAACCCCCCTTGAGACGTTGTGGATGAAGCCATGAAACCCGCACTCTGATTGAACCAATGAACGAACCTAAACATACCCAGTAATTCTACATAAATCTTACACGTTCTAATGATTCTAATGTGACACCACACCTTTGCACCCACAGCCACGCCCTGGAACTCCACCCTGGCCGCCGCTAGAAATCCCACTCCCGAGGCGTTTGTTGGCCCTCAGCCGGGGCTTGGGGCTGCCGATCCCGAAGCCCTTCCGCGCGCCCTTCATCCCTGGGATCACCGTGATGATCCCGCACTATGGGGAGACCATCTTGGAGAAGAAGGCTGGGACGGACGGACTGATGTGCGACAGAGTGGATTGTGACCACAGCTGCGACAGGCATGGCATAGGGCCGTGCAATGCTGTGCAGCTGTACTGTAAGTAGTTTGAGCTGTCCAGCTGCTGGTGGCCGTGACATACCTCTTTAGATCTTTAGTCGAGACCGTGCAATTTTAGGGGTTTCTCAGAATAGAAGCTGCAAGCTGCTGCTTGTAATCGGAAGTTATGACGCCCACAAAAGGGTTGAACTGTTTCTGGAAGCAACATGCCCTTGAGCAATAGCAAGTACAGAAACAAGCCCAACGACCTCGGAGGTTCTTGTTTCGAGTCGTTACATAGGACAGGTGGACCTGACTCGTTTGTTTTGCCCTTTTGGATGTTGCGCAATCGTCGAGACAGAAGAGCTCGAGCTTGTGTGAAAAACGCCCGTAAGCGAACAAGCGACAATCCAAGCGTTGCAGGATTCCTTGTATGGTGGACGTGACGACGATATTGTGCTGTCCTCAATTTCATCATGTGAATCATTGGGGATCATTGGGGCAAACATATACGACTTACAACACAATGTCGTTATGCTTCGTCCTATAGTTTCTGCAACAGATTGCGCTTTGCAGCGTCATTCTGCAGCTGATTTCTTCATATTTCCTAAAGGAACTCTATTATGTCGCACAATGCTGCAAAACTGATGGACCGGTGTGCCTTTTTTTTAGGTGCCACTGATGGACTGGCTCAAAGCTCGCTATGAGGCACAAGTGCCGCATCGCCTGCTGCTTTGCATATATACTTAATCTTCTTGGCTGGTTGCCATTTTGTGGTATCCACCAAGCAAACATAGAACGTGGATCCAGGAAGGCCTGTTCATGAATCTAGCTGCCACCAGACAGACGTGCAGGTCCAGTGCTGCACTTGGGTTCCAGACCCAACCATGGCCCATACCCATACCGTGGCAACACCCGCAGCAACACCTGATGGTCCGATGAATGGTCATGATGGCCCGGTTGGATGAAATCAGATGGATCCATACATGCCGTACATGCCATACATGCCAAGTAAGTGACATGTGACATGTGTGTAATCCAACAACGGACACATGATTCGATGATTCCTTTCGCATTTTGCCCGCGAGCCATTTCCTCCAGATCATGTGTTTTGTCACTCGTTTTGAGACCAATGAAAGGCAGATTTGCTTTCGCCTGCTCATCGCAGGATGAATGGCACAACTTTGATGCTCGCATGCAGGCCTGCCCGGACCGGCGACACACAAAGAAGCTCAATTTTGGCAGATGGCAGAACCCTAAGAGACACGAAGGCTGATCAAAGCCCCCCGTGGAGAGGAACATGATTTGCACTTGATACTCAAGGAATTCGCTTACATAGTTCATGTAGAACCTACGGCCATGCTGGGGACATTCAAGGACTTCCAATCCGTGCTTGGCATGCGGGTTACATGGGGTGTACTTGAGGGTTACGATCTGTGTCCACCATGAGTTCCCTGCTCCCCAGATCACCTGGTCACCTGGACCCGTTCTGTTGTGGCCCCGGACACGAGAAGCGGAGGCGAAGAACATGGGCGGCCTCTCAGCAGGCAGCAACTGGGATGACTACTCGGATGAGCAATGGGCATCTTGACACTGACAGGGTGGGTTGCTCTTCCCCACAACGTACCGGCTAGCCATAGGTTGACACCTCACAACATACCGCGCGACCGCAACACATGCCGCGCGACTGGTCTGGGCGCCAACCCACCCGTGGGTGCCCAGGGCGTGCCGTTACCGAGTGGCCGAGGAGAAGATTTGCGGGTGGTCCTCCATGAGACTTCAAACGCTCTTTCGCACCGTGGCCGGCATGATGCTCTACCATCCAGCCTTGCAGTGCCACTACGAAGCTTGGAACAAGTTCCGAATTTCTACTTGAGCGAAGAGCAGACGTCTGAGCTGCCGCGCTCCGCTCATAGAGCTGAGTGGGTTGGAGTGGGATGGGTAGTGATGCACCTGGAGCCTTCAATCAGTCGGTCTCCTGGTGTCATGACCCAGAGCCATGTGGCGAAGATGATGGTCATTCTTCAAGAGTTATGATGTTCTTTGGTGTGTGGGCATAATGAAGTCCAATACATTTGCCATGTGCATTTAGAACATTTTAAAACGCTTGGTCGTCCTGACCCCTCCACCAGACACGTTCAGAACGCCGAAGCCACGAAGAACACCGCGAACACCTTGTGACATCGGCCGTTGCACCTCCTGCAACTCCTGAGGAAGTCCAGGGAGTTGGCAAGGTGAGGGGTGAGAAGAAGCCTGCCTTGGCAGATGTCTCTCGGCCTGTTGGTTTTCTGAGTTGTCGATGGAGTCCGATGGAGGACACCATGGATTGGTTTCAGCTTTGGCCACTGTGTATGGCCTGGTATTATGACTTGCATCATGCTTCTCGGTCGTTCTTGAGCCTGAGATCTCCTTGTGACATCTTGTGACGTGAACCTCCAGAAGAAAGAACAGGAAAGATCTGTTCTTCCAGTTTTTACTAAAAAAGAAACATGGCCCAAAGACGCAAGATACAAGAAGAAGGGAAGAACGATCTTTGTAGAGAGGAACAGGAAAGACTAGAAAGAACCAAGAAAGGAAAGGTCGAAAGACAGAACATAAATAGAAGGGCGAATAGTCCAAAAGTTCAGCGAAAGAAACTAAATAATAGTAAAGAAAGGAGGAAAGGTCCAAATGTCTAAAGAAAGAAAAGGACAAGAGGAAAGATAGGAAAGGAAAGGAAGAATGGTCTAAAGAAAGAAAAGGCGAAGTAAGGAAAAAGAAAGTGACTTGACTTGTGACCACATGGAACCCAGGTTTGGACACCCAATGACTGCTTCAACTGCATCGTCTCTATGCAGCAGTACGGTATCCCTGGTGCTGTGAACTATGGCCACGTCAACAAGATGCCCCTTCGTCGCAAGCAGGTCTCACTGAACTTTCCTTTGTCAATTGTGTGTCTCATGGACAACAATTTGACAATCTCAGCACAAAGTTTGTCAAACTGGAATTGCCTGGTTCACACTGTTGGCTCTATGATGCTCTATGGCAAGGTTGGCAATATCATCTATACCGGGGCCCGATAACATGGCACAAATGAATCTCCCAATATATGCCATGTTAGTGAGAACCCCCCCCCTGCAAAGGCGTCGAAAGCATTTGGAACCCTTAGATGGCGCATGGCACATGGCCGGTATAGTTTTTCATACACTAACATGGCACACTGATATGAACATGTAGCTCTTATGTTAGCGTACATAGAATTTTAGGAAATGATCATTTTTAAAAGGACAATGAAAGGAAATACTCATTTGTAAAAGGAAAATGAAAGGACATGAACATTTGTAAAAGGACAATGAAAGGAAATTATCATTTTAAAAAGGAACATGAAAGGAAATAATCATGTTTAAAAGGAAAATGAAAGGAAATGATAATCTTTAAAAGGAAAATGAAAGGACATGATAATATTTTGAAGGAACATGAAAGGGAAGGATCATTGTTTTAAACAGGAAATGAAAGGGAAATTTATTTTTTTAAAATGACAATGAAAGGAACTAAATATTGTTTAAAGAAAAATGAAAGGGAAGGATCATTATGTTAAAAGGAAAACACCAGGAACTGATTATTTCCCACAAGGTGCACTAAGATGGCACACAGGAGGAAGCTAAAGGAAACCGGATAGAAATGATCATTTTTTAAAAAGAAACATGAAAGGACATGCTCTTTTTTTAAAAGGCAAATGAAAGGAAATGATTACTTTTAAACAGAAAATGAAAGGACATGCTCATTGTTAAAAGGAAAATGACAGGAAATGATAATTTGCAAAAGGAAAATGAAAGGACATGATCATGTTGAAAAGGAAAATGAAAGGAAATGAGCATGTTTAAAGGGAAAATGAAAGGACACTATAATTGTTTAACAGGAAAATGAAAGGAAATTATTTTGGTTAAAATACAAATGAAAGGGAAGGATCATTACTTTAAAAGGAAAACAAAAGGACATGATTATTTCCACAAAAGGTGCACTAAGATGGCACACAGGAGGAAGCTAAAGGAAAA